GGGGGGGGGGGGCAGAACACACAGCCACCAGAGCTGCCCCTGCAGCCCAAGGCGGAGCCCCGGGGCCTTTTAAGGGACTCTGCCCCCGCATTCATCCCAACAGAAGGGCATGCAAATCCCCACCCAGGCCACTGCAAGCAGAGAACAGGACACGAGGCTGGGGCTCTTTAATGGACCCTCTGCCTTATGCACCCCAATAGGTGGGCATAAGAAATCCTGCCTCTGTTCCCCACCTCCCCATCCCTCTCTTCCCCAAATGCACAACCTCAGCCCTTCAAGCCACCTCCCCGTGCTGCATTCACTCCAATCAATGCCATCTTGCCCCTCTCCCCTCTGCGAGGACCGTCCTTCCCTCCTGGGGGCCACATGGAAGCCGCTCGGGGCCAGGAAGAGACAAGGGTGTCACTCCTGCCGGCCGGAGGTGCAGGACCCGAGGGTCTCTCTCCCTCAGCTCTGGGGGACCTGCCCCATCTCATCCCTGCCAGGCCATCACCTCCCCCTGCCTTCCTGGGGACCTGCCTGTCACCAGGAGCAGAGCAGGGCCTACACCCAGCTTCCAAATGACCCTCACCTTGGACAAGGGAAAGCGACCCGGTCTGGTCCCAAGAGGCAGCCGGGCCCGTGGCCTGTGGGATGGGTGGCCCCATGTTCTCATTAAGCCTTGTAAAAACCAGTACGAATGGGCTGCCTCAGCCTCCCACTGGGCCCTTCACCCCTGGGTCAGAGGGGCTGGGCAGTTCAGTCTGCGTCCATGGACCAAATGAAATGTTAGGCTCTCGTCCCAGCTTAGCCACTCTGTACACCCCCCCACCTCTAATTCAGGAGGGACACGACCAGGGAGGGAGGCAGGCTGGGTCCTCCACACCCAGGACGGGAGGGAGAGAGCTGGAGAAGCAGAGACTGAAGGTGGGGGATCCAGGGGCATCCAGTCCCAGCCACTGACTCCCCTGGACAAAGACAATTCCACGACTTCACATGAGCACAAAGCACCTACTACGTGCCAGGCCCCGGGAAGAGAGCCCTGAGCATGCTCAGGCAACAAGTACACGATGACCGCATGTGCTAACAGCCCCGCGAGGGCCCGGCTGTGACTCAGCTGCTGTGTGCACATTCGGTCGTTCAGTTACACAAATACAGGTGGAGATGACTTCAGTACGGACGGATCGCTGCTCCTAAGAAATCAAACACAGCTAGCTGAGAGCGGCACTTCAGGTACAGAGGGCCCCTTGGAGAAGTGACATCTGAGTTAAGATCTGAATTAGCGCCCTGGGCAGCGGGCACATCCACTGCAAAGGCCCTGGGGCTGGATGTCCATGAGCGAGGAGGCGAGAGAGCCAACAGAGGCGGGCATGGGACAGTTGCCCAGGTCCTGTGGGGCAGGGACGGGAACCTGGAATTACTCTGAGCCAAGTGAGAATCACGAAGGAATCTGGGCAGGTGAGTTACGTGATGTGGTTTATATATTTAAAGGTCATGCTGGCTGCCGGTGGAGCAGGACTAGAGGGGCCAGAACAGAGAGCCTGTGGGATGGCTGGTGTGTGCTCCAGACAAGACCCAGGGCAGCTGCGGCACAGTGGGTGTGAGGCCAGCGTGGGAGGCTGGGCTAAACCGCCTCTGAGATTTGCAAGGCCCTGTGGGTGCCCCACATCACTCAGAGCTGGCTAACCAGGCTCACGCCCTGAGCAATGGGCACTGTCCCTCACTGGCTCAATGGCCCAGACAACCTTGGCAAGTCTCTGACAGCCCCATCCTCAGGGCTACGATCCTTGTCACAGAGGTTNTTCTTGCATCCTCAGGGCTACGATCCTTGTCACAGAGGTTCCCTCCCTGGGGGTCCCTCAAGTCCTTCCGGGCTGCCCCACGTCTCAGTGCTGTGACATTGCTCACCCTGGGTGGCTTGTCCCCAGCCACTTGGCTGGACATAGAGCTCTAAGCCAGAGGGTGTCATTGTGTCTGCCCCCACACCCCAGCCTTGGCTCTCCATCGGGCAGGCACATAGCTGGGGCCCGCTCCCCTTGGCACAGTCAACAACACAAGCCAACTTCACACCCCGAGCCCACGCTCCAGGGGCCCTGGCCTGGAACAACTGAGTTCTTTGTGACCGGCCGCACCCCCTCCCCCTGCAGCAGGACCGGTGTCTGCTGCCAGGCGGGGGATACAGGTGGGAGGCTGGCCGCAACCCTCCCAGAGTCCACCCTGCCTGTGAGCTGTTTCCTCGACCTGCAGGTTCAGTAGGTAGGTGACGGGGCCATCTGGCACCTGGGCAGTACTCGGCGCCTCTGTGATGGCCTCCAGCGGCACAAGCACCTCCCAGGGCAGCACACCTGGTGGCCTGTACCACCCAACGTCTGGCCCCCAACACCTGACGGTGCCCACCGGCCCTCCTACCACCCCTGCAAACAGCTAGGCAGTTGCACCCACCTTTCCGTGGCCCCCGAGTGGGNAGCTGCAAACAGCTAGGCAGTTGCACCCACCTTTCCGTGGCCCCCGAGTGGGGAACTGCCCCTGACAGCTGCCTTCACGTCGGAGCGACTGGAGTCCTATCGGCACCATGCACCTGAGCCTCGGTTCTCTACAGCTCCCAGTCCCGCCCACAGCTCTGAGTGTCGGGCCACACCCTACACCCCTGAGCTGGGTGTGCATCGTCTCAGCTGTGGCTAGACACCTGTCCTTTGAACAAGGAATGAGATGTCACTTTGGCTGCGCTCCTGCACCTGGACACTGTGTGTCTGTGCACGTGTGTGTGAGGCAACGCTGGCCTAGCCACAGAATCCGTGTGGAGCACAAGCCCCAGACAGCTGCCGAAGACACACATGGTCTCCAAACCGTGGCTGTGTCACGGAGTTTCTCTTCCCTTCCCAAGCAAGGCGCCTCAGATCACAGCGCTGCTGGCTCAGGGAGCTTCCAGCAAGAGGTTTCAGGAGAGAAACTGATCTGGACACGCTCAGCATGGTGAACGCATCTGAAGGGGGCGGGATGCCTTGTGCATTCTGACCTCTGAAGGACTTGCCAGCCGACCCCTGGCACCCAGGAGGCACTCCCCAGGGCTCACCACCTGCCCAGCAGCGTCCCCAGGACGAGGCCCTCGCCTGGTCCATCTGCCCTGTCACCTTTCCACACACAGCCTGGCCACGCAGACCAGATGGACACCGGGGCCTGCCTCCCTGGCACGCTGGGCTGCCCCCCACACGTGCAGGCAGACAATGGGATCCCCAGACCTGGAGCCTGCCGCCTGAAGGGGAGCACAGACGCCCATGAACTGTGCACCGTCTGCACGGCCTGCCGGGTTCCAGGCCCCACCAGGCCCCCCACAACCAACGAAGTGGGGTACAAAGGCGTCGACAGGCCACAGCCGCTATTGTGAGGGCGGGGTTCCTGCCGCCTGGGACCTGGATCCAACCGTGTACACAGATCCAGGACTACACACCCGACCCGAAGGCTGTGCGCACGTCCTGGCTGAGACAGCCTGCGTCTGCCCCTGGCCTGGTAGCTGTACCCAGGGGGCAATCACAGGGCCCCACCTGCAGAAGGCACCCAAAGGGGCTCAACCAGACAGACAGACACACATTAATTCTCCCCATGCAGACAGAGTAGGAAGCAAGTAAAACCCCAGATGGCAAAGAGCAGAACTCCACCAGGGGCTGTGCCTGGCCGGGCCCAAGGGCAAGGGAAGCCCACCGCCTTCCGGAAGGACCTGGCCACACCCCCAGGAGCCACTCAAACCCTAACGCCAGCCAGGTGTGGACGGCAGACAGCCCAGCTGAGGGGAGTGGAGGGGGCACCCTGGGGAGTCCAGCCTGGTGAATGTCCCCAGGGGCTGCTGTCAGCCCCCAGCCACATGTCCCACCGTCCCCTAACCCCCAGGACCCTCCTGCGCACTCATATCCCCAGAGCAATTCTTGGGGCTCCAAACCTGTAGGGGGTCAGCGGCCTAGAGGTGGAGGCGGTGGCTGGTGGGGGAGCAGGAGGCCCCTCACTCTGCGGACCGACCCGACGGAGCCACCCTGGGAACCGAGCCCAGAGCTGGGGTGCCAGACACGATCCCGGGGCCGCCCCAGGCGCCCCCGCCCGCACACCCCGCCCCTCCGATGCCGCGTCGGCTCAGCAGGGGGCACAGAGCCCGCTACTCCCGGCAGACAGGCAGACAGGCAGGCAGGCAGACAGACAGACAGACACGGCCGCTTCCCTCCCGGCCCCGCGCCTTCCAGCCGCACCCAGTGGGGCGCCAGG